CGTACCCAAAAAAAAAAAAAAAAAAAAAAAAGAAACGTCATGGTTTTGTGTGTGCTACATGATGCTACTTTGTATAAACACGTTCCTGCAGATTTTCACAAAGACGTCTAGTAAAGGAAATGAGGAAAGGTGACCAGTATTTATGTCCTATCATTTACTTCTCACGACCAACTCTGATCTTCCCAGTGAACTGGTGCTGGTGGTATAGGGCGTGGTTATCATTGTCACGAGTTTTTCAGGGAGGAATCAAAACTCAGAGAAGTCAAGCAGCTAAACCTGAGGGCACACAGCTCAGTGGCAGAACAGGGGTTTGCTTCATTTGCTTTGCAAGATCTATCACAGTTTATAAACTCAGTTTGATGAATAATAAGTACGTATTTGTTATGTCCATATGTTTAGATAATGGAAGGCTCAGAATATATTTTGGGTAAAATTATGTGACTTTATTTTAAAAAAAGGACTATGGGGGGAACCCTCTTCTTTTTAGAGAAAATAATTTCAAACATTTCATTGTGGGTTTTTTGGCCATCGGGGTGAACGAGTGCCCCCTTCTGGCCTATCTGGAGAAACTTAGGCAGACGCGGAGGGTCAGTGAAACCCCATAGGTTCAGAGTCCAGTGCCGGGGGTGCCAGGAAAATCCTTATTTCCACAAGCACTCGGGTTATGTCGATATGTTTTGAGGAACTACTATTAACTTTTTTGTCCACACGTTTAGATGGATTTTTGAAAATTAGTTTCACCCAAAGTGAGTTTTCAGAGACTCTTACCCACTGCTGAGCCGTGTCCAGGAGGACCGGGCCTTTCACGCAGCGGCCACGTGGCCCCGCCTGGGGCAGTGACTTTGGTTCATGCTTCTTTGGTCTTGAACCCAGAAGCAACCGGTGCTGCTCCAGGTGGGTGGGCCCCGGGAGACCTGCCTGACCTGCTCCTTACTTTGCTGTGAGGTGAGGGAGATGCTGAATGGTCCTGGTATGCCCGGTGTGACCATTTCCAGCAGGTGAAGCCAAGAGGTGCCTGGGCCTCCCCTCCGTTTAACTTGTGCCGCCATGGCCCTGTACAGTGACAGTTATTGCAAGAGTGACAAACAGACTTTGAATCCTGGCTCAGCCCTTTACCAGCAGGTCGCCTGCTTTCTGTGAGTCTCAGTTTCCTCATCTGTAAAATGGGGACAATATCTCCCACCCCAGGGGGCTGTAGGAAGGATCACGAGAGATAATGTGTGTAAACAGCTTAGTGGGGAGCCCTGCGCACGGCAGAACTCAGGCAGGTTACTGGTGAGGAGGTGGCAGCTGCTTCCCCCAGACATCTGGGTGGGCTGCATGTAGGGCCCTGGGCCTCCGGCAAGGGGGGCAGAAAGATCCCTGCTCCCTGGCACTGAGGCCACAGCTTGTGGTCATGACTGCAAGTGGCCGTGGCGCAGCAGGCCAATTGTAGGTTTCTTTTTGCCTTAAAATAGAATAGCATAAGATTATTCCAAAACTAGAATGATTATTTTTAGTCATCTTCAATTTAATTTTTTTTTAGTAAATTATTTTGTTGTATTTATTTTTGGCTGCTTTGGTCTCCGTTGCTGCGCGCGGTCTTTCTCTAGTTGTGGTGAGCGGGGGCTACTCTTCTTCGCGGTGCGCGGGCCTCTCATTGCGGTGGTTCTCTTGTTGCAGAGCACGGGCTCTAGGCGCGCAGGCTTCAGTAGTTGTGATGCCCGGGCTTCGTTGCTCCATGACATGTGGGATCTTCCTGGACCAGGGCTCGAACCCATGTCTCCTGCATTGGCAGGCGGGTTCTCAACCACTGCACCTCCAGGGAAGCCCCATCTTCAATTTAAGATTAGGCCGCAGACTTTGCATACCTTAGTGGTAAATATTGTTGGCCAGTAAGTGTCTAGAAAGGTTCTGTGTTTGGAGTGAACTCTTATGTTTACTGCACAGAGGAGGGGCCACACTTTTAGCCACGCAGGACTGCTTTCGACACCGGTTCTGCTGCTTATTGGCCAGGAGTCCTTGGACGATCACTTGACATCCCCGGACCTGTCGTGTTCAAGTCCGGCAGCTGTAGGTGCACAGGCCTTGTGGTGGCCACTTGCCCTTGCCTTGTTCCTTACGTGGGACAGTGGTTCTCACCTTGGGCACTTATGCCCCCGGGGACACTTGGCACTCTGTGAGGCATCTTTGGGTGTCACAGGTGGGAGTGGGACACTGCTGAATGTCCCATGATGCACAGGATGGTCCTCATGACGAACAATTATCAGTCCTCAAGTGTCAGAAGTGCTGAGGTTGAGATCCCTGCCCTGGATCATGGCTGACGTCACCTGAGATTTCTGAATGTTGATATGAGTACGTGTTTGCACTAGAGAGTCCTTCTAAACTGGGCAATCTTCCATGAAAAGGCTTGCAAAGTTCTAGAACACAAATCAGAATTGGCTCTGGTCTTAATGAGCTGGTTTTGAAGAGAGTCACAGGGAGAAGTGGGGGGTCCCCAGGAGATGCCCACGGCCCAGGCAGACAGTGTACACCTCGGGCCCAGGACTTGTTCTGGAAGCAGCTGCTCTTTCTGAGTGTGAGTGATGGGGCTCTCACATAGCCCCAAAATATATTTACCAGCATCATGAAAGAAATAGAGCTGGTCTTTTTGAGCACAGACCCTGTGCTAGGAGGGGCCGTGTTCCTGGCACCATCCCGTACATAATCCCTCCTCATCCTCTTAACCCTAAGAAAGGTGGTATCTCTGTCCAGTTTGCACACTACGAAATCGAGCCGCAAAGAGCCTCTAACTTGCTGTAGGTCACATGATGCCTAACAGTCGGATTTAGGGCTTGCAAAATCTGCTTGCAAATCTGGAGCTTTGCTTTTTTTTTTTTTTTTTTGGCCTTCGCCAGTGTCTCTCCACCTGGTGAAATGTATGGGCCCCTTTTGCGAGAAAAGTATTCTCACAGCTGCCCATGTGCCCCGCAGTGGTCAAGTCACCCACCCTTTTCTGCAGTCGCACTGTTGCACAACTGTCACAGTAGGAGGTGTTCCAGGCTGGATTTGGCTCGAATGTACCACTTGTGTTCTACGTCAGTACCTACACTTCCCTCCCTGGATTACAATGGTGAAAGTGATACCGCTGGGCACCAAACACAGACACTGGTGTTATTTGTTCCTGAATGTGTTCTAGTCTAAGAGAACTGCCCGGAGAAGTGCTCCAGAACTTTCTGCAGTGAAGGACCTGTTCCGTGTCTGCTCATAGCCACACATGGCTGCTGAGCGTGTGACGTGGGACTCATGTGATGAAGGAAGTGCCTTTTAATTAATTAATTAATTTATTTATTTATTGGCCATGCTGCACGGCATGTGGGATCTTAGTTCCCCGACCAGGGGTTGAACCTGTGCCCCCTGCAGTTGGAAGCGTGGAGTCTTAAGCGCTGGACCAACAGAGAAGTCTGAAGGAAGTGCATTTTAAATTATATTTAATTTTAATTAATTTAAACATAAATATCCACATACGGCCAGTAACTGTGGGACTCACAGCACAAGTCTGGTGGTTCTAGAATTACCTGGAGAGATATTAAAAATCCCAGTGTGGAGGCTACAGCCCAGACCAAGCCCATGAGACTGGGGGTGGGACTCAAGCGTCATTGTTCCTGATTGTAGCCTATAGATGATTCAGGAAATGCTTATATCACAAGGTGATCATCAAGATTAAATGACAAGGGCTTCCCTGGTGGCGTAGTGGTTGAGAGTCTGCCTGCTGATGCAGGAGACACGGGTTCGTGCCCCGGTCCGGGAAGATCCCCTATGCCGCGGAGCGGCTGGGCCCGTGAGCCATGGCCCCTGAGCCTGCGCGTCTGGAGCCTGTGCTCCGCAACGGGAGAGGGCACAACAGTGAGAGGCCCACGTACCGCAAAAAAAAAAAAAAAAGATTAAATGACAAAATGAAATTCTCTTAGAGAACTTATGGGACCCCAGTTGAAAAAGTGGTGCAGACATGCTGCCTGTAGATGTTTCCCAATTATTATTTTTTAAAGTTTTCCTCTTTTCGGTGTAATTTTATCTTTGGCTCTCAGGTTGCCTGATCCCTCCTGTGCTGGTCTCGGCCGTTCTGAATAACATTCTAACGCTGTGTGTATCTCCCTGCAGGATGGCAAACTGTCGTGAGTCGTGGCAGTGGGAGGTCGGCCAACGTCTTAGATTGTTTTTTGACCCTAAAAACAGAAGTTCCCCTCATGACTGAAGAGCAAAAGCGGGACTTAAACCCCCTGACCATAGAGGTCAAGTGTGTTTCCTGCCTTCCATCACGGTCTGTGTCCTTCAGTGAACTAGAGGTAAGAGTGAGCCAGCTGGTCTGAGAGCTGATTTTCCCAGCCATCTGCCCATCACCTGTTGCCCCTCACCCACAATGGTCCTACATGAAAAGTATGATCATCAACCTCATTTCCTCATTTAGGATCTCACAGCCAGACAGCAAAGAGATTAGGTTCCTGGGATCAGGAGTTACCAAGTGTGAGGTCTCCTCTGCTACACCACAGGGTTCTTCAGGTGCAGGTAGCGACCCTCCACTCAGGAGGAGCCCTATGGTTCCTTGTTACAGCAGCAGTGCTCGCCTAGTGCTCACTTATTTTGAACCAGCCAGTTTAGTGCTGCTGTTTACCTTGGGAGTCCCCTGTTCCTCTCCTGGTGGGTCCCTGTCCCTGGATTCTGTGTCTTGCTCTTGCTTTGTTTCCTCTTTGATTTTGCTGGAGCACATCCTCCTGTAGCTTTCTGAGAAGAGGTTAAGGGGAGATACTTGTTTTATGATCTCTTATGTCTGAAAATATCCTTATTCTACCCTTATAATTGATTGATAGTTAGGGTATAGAATTCTAGGTTAAAAAAACATTTTCTTTCAGTTTAAAAATTTTTTTATTGGAGTATAGTTGATTTACAATGTTGTGTTAGTTTCACGTACACAGTAAAGTGAATCAGTTATACATATACACATATCCATCCTTTTTACATTCTTTTCCTATATAGATAATTACAGAGTATTGAGTAGAATTCCCTGTGCTATACAGTAGCTCCTTGTTAGTTATATATTTTATATATAGTGGTGTGATCTCCCAATCCCAGTCTCCCACTTTATCCCTCCCCCCTCTCCCCTGGTAACCATAAGTTTGTTTTCTACATCTGTGACTCTATTTCTGTTTTGTAAATAAGTTCATTTGTACCACTTTTTTAGATTCCACATATAAACAATATCGTATGATATTTGTCCTTTTCTGTCTGACTTACCTCACTTAGGATAATTTCTAGGTGCATCCACGTTGCTGCAAATGGCATTATTTCATTCTGTTTAATGGCTGAGTAATATTCCATTGTGTATATGTACCACAACTTCTTTATCCACTCCTGGATAAATTATCTATCCATCGATGGACAGTTAGGTTTCTTCCATGTCCTAGTTGTTGTAAACAGAGCTGCAATGAACACTGGGGTACGTGTATCTTTTTTTTATGTATATAAATTTATTTATTTATTTATTTATTTATTTATTTATTTAATTTATTTTTGGCTGCATTGGGTCTTTGTTGCTGCGTGCAGGCTTTTCTCTAGTTGCGGCAAGCGGGGGCTATTCTTCATTGCAGTGTGCAGGCTTCTCATTGCGGTGGCATCTCTTGTTGTGGAGCATGGGTTCTAGGTGCATGGGCTTCAGTAGCTGTGGCACGTGGGCTCAGTAGTTGTGGCTTGTGGGCTCTAGAGCGCAGGTTCAGTAGTTGTGGCGCACGGGCTTAGTTGCTCCGTGGCATGTGAGATCTTCCTGGACCAGGGCTCAAACCCATGCCCCTGCATTGGCAGGGGGGGTTTTTTTTTTTTTTTGTGGTACGCGGGCCTCTCACTGTTGTGGCCTCTCCCGTTGCGGAGCACAGGCTCCGGACACGCAGGCCCAGCGGCCATGGCTCATGGGCCCAGCTGCTCCACGGCATGTGGGATCCTCCTGGACCGGGGCACGAACCCGCGTCCCCTGCATCGGCAGGCGGACTCTCAACTACCGCGCCACCAGGGAAGCCCCAGCAGGTGGATTCTTAACCACTGTGCCACCAGGGAAGCCCCATGTACCTTTTGAATTATGGTTTTCTCCGGATATATGCCCAGTAGTGGGATTGCTGGGTCATATGAT